CGGCTGAAAATTGTGAATTTTTTTTCCACAATTTTCTTGTGGGCGGGACCACTCGCAGCCATTTTGGATCGCTCCGGTAGAGCACATTTTTTTGGCCCATTAGTTAGAACGGCGGAGATAGGCGTGACTCTGTCCGTTAATATATACAGCGTGTGGTTTTACCACACCATTGTACTCATTTCATTTTGTACTAAGGTCTGGATTTGCTCCATTGACTCCGTTAACAGGTGGGAGGGGTTAACTCCTTTTGCAGATTGAAACCATTGGATCTGAGTTTACTGTGACGTATGTAATGAGCCCGAGTGAGTGAGGCATTTAGCCTAGCTTTAGCACTTAGCCTAGCTTTAGCATGTAGCCTAGCTTTAGCCATCTCCTTTGCCACTAACGGAGCCCGTGGGGAGTAGAGCCACAACATCTTTGCTTCAATGACATTTACTAAACATTCCTCTTGCTCCGGCTTCAGTTTCTTGATATTTGGATTGAACCAGAACAGATTATTTTACTATCGCATTCTCCGACAAACTACAACCAGTAAATTCAGCACAAACTCTCAACGTCACCGACACCGACCTACAACACCCGCCTCCCCCGCTCTCTGATTGGTCGGAGGAGATTCAACCGAGGAAACTGCAGCCACTAGGATCAGACCCAGACGTACATGTAGGAAATGAACATGGACCAGAGTTTACACATGGTAAGACAAGTCTAGCTAGTGCTACTCACCATAGCAACTAACTGTGTACTTGAAGCAGTTAGCATTAAATCAATGTTTTTACTGTATTTTAAGTTATTTTCACTAGTTGTAGCACATATTGGAAGAGAACAACTCATAAACAACTTGCCTTCGATAAAACTGATGGAAAACGGACTCACTTTTTTTCCATCGGTTTGATTGGGAGCCGTCAGAACAGACTGGGATTTCTAGTCGTCTCAGATTTAAGTAGTTAAAACCACACAGGGTCTCTAAATTCTTCTCAGTAGTGTAATTCAAAGATTCCAAACCAGATCTTAGCTCATTGTATTCATCTCCAACAATCCTAAAAGCTCAAGTCGAGTTACATGCCAACCCGGGACAAATCACACTGACATAAGAACGATAAAACTAATAATAATGCATCGGTTTTGTACAGCGCTTTTTTGGGACACTCAAAGACGCGTCACATGTTGTTATTCTTTCTCTCCAAACACGGTGGTGATAGACTACTACTGTAGCCACAGCTGCCCTGGGGCACACTGACAGAAGCGAGGCAACCAGTCTGTGCCATCGGCCCCTCCCACCACCACCAACCATTCACACACACACCAGACTCATTCTAATGTGGGGGAAGTGTCTTGCCTAAGGACAATTCTCTGTCCTTAGACAATTTTCTGAAATGATTGAAGGCTGCAGCAACAATCTGCGTGTTCTGTTCTCAACAGTTAATAGATTAACAAACCCCCCTGTTCAAATGCCATTAGAGCTTACTTCCAAACGTAAATGCAATGAGTTTGCTAATTTTTTCAATGACAAGGTTCAAGGCATCAAAAGCGCCATTGTCTCCAATCCACAGATAACCATCCAACAGCCAGAAAGGCTCTCTGAGCTAACTCACTTTGCACCTGTAAATGATAAAACTGTCCAAGAGATAATCTCCAGTTTGAGCTCCTCCACATGCAGCTTGGATGTACTACCCACTAGATTTCTGAAGTCTGTTCTGAGCAGTCTGTTACCTTCACTCACACAGATAGTAAACATGTCCCTTCATTCTGGAATATTCCCAAAGGCCCTGAAAACTGCAGTCATCAGGCCCCTGCTAAAAAAGAGCAGTCTGGATGCCACTGTACTTAACAACTATCGTCCCATCTCAAATCTGCCATTTATGGGGAAAGTCCTTGAGAAAGTTGTCTACCTACAGCTTACTAGATTTCTTATAATCAACAACTCATTTGATATGTTTCAGTCCGGCTTTAGACCCCACCACAGCACTGAGACTGCTCTCGTTAAGGTTACAAACGATATCCGGCTGAACACTGACGCAGGCAAAGTCTCAATCTTAATCTTGTTAGATCTAAGTGCTGCCTTTGACACCGTCGACCATGAGATCCTCTTACAGAGACTAGAGGACTGGGTTGGCGTCACTGGCACCGCCCTAAGTTGGTTTAGGTCTTACCTTGAAGACAGGAAGTACTTTGTGGAGATTGGAAACTGTGTCTCAGATCATATGGCCCTGACCTGTGGAGTCCCACAGGGGTCGATCCTGGGACCTCTTCTGTTCAATCTCTACATGCTGCCGTTAGGTCAGTTAATACGCAGAAACAAAGTGTCCTATCATAACTATGCAGACGACACTCAGATCTATGTCTCACTGACTGCAGGAGAACATGGACCAGTGGACTCACTCCTTCACTGTATCCAACAGATCAGTGAGTGGATGCAGAACAACTTCCTTCAGCTAAACGCAGACAAAACTGAAATGATTGTCTTTGGTCCCCAGAAACAAAGAGAGAGCGTCATCTGTCACCTACAGTCTCTCTCCCTAAAACCTTCAAACAAGGTCAGAAATCTAGGGGTAATACTGGACTCAGACTTAAATTTTAATAGCCACATCAAATTATTATTATTAGTTTATTTGATATGGACATATCAACTGCATTGGACAAACCAGATACATTGTTTCCAGTGTTATAGCAAAACTGCTAATTTGCAACACCTGTCCATAGGAGGCTACACATCACATTTCAAAAAACACAATACAATACAGTACAATATTTAAAAAGGTAAACAATACACAATTACACATCATCAGTATACATTTCATACAGTGTTACCATGTGAGCAGTTTTGACTTGACTTCAGCCATTGTTTCAGACCTCTGTAAAAACTGTTCATGTCAGTCTGCAGTTTTAAATCAGTGGGCAGAGAGTTCCACAGTCTGGATCCATTAAAAGAGAAACTGGACTGTCCAAAAGATTTTGTAAATTTTGGGAGAACACAGTCCCCACTCACCGAGGCTCTGGTGGAGGGTCTGCGGGAGTCCTGACGCCGAATAATGAGAGCGGAAAACAGCGGCGACACACGACTGTTCAAACATTTAAAAACCAATTTCAGAATACTAAAATGTATAAAGTTTTCGAAAGTAAAAAGATTATGTCTATGGATGATGTCACAGTGATGCCATCTCATAGGTTTTCTGTCAAATACCTTGACTGCCTGTTTGTACAATGAAACAACCGGCTTGAGTGTGGACGGGGAGGTTTGTGACCAGGATGTGACGCAGTAGGACAGATGTGAAAAAATCATGGCATGCATGTATAACAGGGCGGCCTGATAGGACAGATCCCTCCTGATAAAACGAAAACAATTCAAGTTGGATTTGACCTTTTTACACACATTTTTGACTTGACTTTGAAATTTAAGATTGTTGTCAAGGATAATTCCAAGATATGTGGTCTCTTTTACTTCTTGTATAATTTCATTGTTTATGCGTACTTCAAAGGTGCTGTTAGAAGGTCTTGTTTTAATTGAGAAACAGACAGCGACGGTTTTCTTAACGTTTAAGCTTAGGTGAGACAACTTGAGCCATTTAGAGATGTTTACTAGGGCAAGTGTCAACTGCTGCGCTGCCAGAGCTGGAGTTTTAGCAGACAGATGAATTACTGTATCATCTGCGTACAGCTGGCAGTTGACACCTTGGCAGCTATCAGGGAGGTCATTGATGTACATTGTGAACAACAATGGCCCCAGTACTGATCCTTGAGGAACTCCCATATTGTTAGGGAAGAGAGCCGACATCACCCCATTAACCTTAACACACTGCTGTCTTCCCTCCAAATACGATTTTAACCATGCTAAAGAGCTTGGTGACATTTTAAAGAGCTTGAGTTTGTTAGATAGCACGCTGTGATCCACAGTGTCAAAGGCTTTTTTTAGGTCTAGAAATACTGCACCAACTACTTGCCCTTTGTCTAGAGGCCCTTTGATCTTCTCTAGCAAGAAACAATTAGCTGTTTCGGTGCTGTATTTACGCCTAAAACCAAATTGTTGAGGATGCAGCAGCTGGTTTGACTCAAGATGTTCAATGAGTTGTTCTGCAATTACCTTTTCCAGGATTTTAGACACAACAGGCAGAATGGCAATAGGCCTGTAGTTGTTGGGTGTGTCCTTTTCGCCTGACTTGTGGATCGGTGTTATTACAGCGGGCTTCCAACACTGTGGGAATGTATTTGACCTGATTGAGAGATTAACTAGATATGTAATTGGTTGTAGTAGACTGTCCTGATGTTTTTTAATCAAGGTCATACTTAAGTTATGGATGTCTTTTGCCGCGGAGTTGTTCATATTTGTTATTATCTTTTTAACTTCATCAGAAGAGACCTCTTGGATTATAAAAAGGCTTGCATTACCCAAGTTAACATCTTCAGCACATGTCACCTTGTTTTTAAATTTGTTTGCTAATTCATGCACAGAGTCTATAAAAAAATTATTAAAAACATTTGCCATTGACTCATTGTTATTGACAAGAGTGCCATCCACTTTTATGGAATCTATCCTAACGCACCTTTTTTTTGCAGGGTTGGTTAAGTAGTTTATGTGTTGCCACAATTTAGAGCTACAACCGTTAGCCTCTTCTATCTTTTTAGTAAAGTAGTCGGTTTTGGCTTTACGTAGATTGCTTGTGACTTGATTTCTAAGTGTAGTATAGATTTGATAGTCTATGCTGTTTCTAGACTTCAGAGACTTTTTACGTGCAGTGTCACGTTTTTTCATAATATGCCAAATATCGCTGTTAAACCATGGGAGGGAATGCTTTTGTGGTTTACTTGTCCATGTTTTAGTAAAGTTTTTTACCATTTTACTCAGAGTAGAGACAAAGATATTAGCACTTTCGTTCACATTGGACTCTTTCATAACATTATCCCAGTTTATTTGGTTCAGTTCTTCTTCAAAGATGTTTAGTTTTGCTTTTGGAATTCCTGTTTTCTGTATTTTTGTTTCTTGGTTATGATAGGTCAATCGTTTATTACCCAATTTCCTGACAATTACGGTCATGTTATGATCGGAGAGCCCAGTAATGAGGTTATAGGTTTTTGTTATTCTTTCTGGCCTATTTGTGAGAATGAGGTCAATCAGCGTTTTACTACTTCTTGTGACTCTGGTAGGTTTGTCTATCAGCTGTTTATATTTAAATTTATCTACTAGGACTTTTAATTTCATTTTGCTACTTTTTTCCAGCCAGTTTATATTGAAGTCGCCCAATATTATGCTTTCAGAGCAATCCATGTTAGAAAGGAAACTCTTGAATTCATTGTAAAAGTGTACATTGTGTGAAGGTGGATTGTAAAGAACACATAAGTTAAATCTCATGGTTGTAGACAAAGTAACTCTGAGTGCAAGGCACTCCAACTTCACATTAATTGCAACATCTTCACACTGAAACTGATCTCTAATGTATATTAACACCCCCCCGCCCCTTCCCTTTTCCCGGTCTCTTCTAAAGCACTTATAGCCTGGTATGTTAATTAGATTTGTTGGAGTACACTGATTTAGCCAGCTTTCAGAAACGCACAAAAAGTCCAAATTCGAGTCAGTTAACAGGTTATGTATTTGGTCTATTTTTGGTAAAATACTTCTAACATTGAGATGTCCACCTAGTATTCCTTTGGGTTTCGTTTGCGGATTCCATATAACTTGCGCATGATTTACAGTCTGGACAAACTTGAGCTGCCTCTGCTTCGTTGTTGCGCGATTTGAAGTTTTGACCCTTGCAGGACACCGTCTTTGTTTACTTTCTGCATCTGTCATAGCAGCATTGGAAGATGTTTGATTCTCGAGTACATGGTGGTTGGAAGGATTACAACTCACCGCCGTAGCGAGACAAATGGTGTCCGATGTTCTTTGTGGCTCCGTTAGCCGACGGTTCATCATAGAGGTAGTAGCCTCAGCTGTTTCAGCAGACCCGCAGATGGAATCGCTAGGCTTCATCTTGCTGGATCTTGTGACAGCGACAGGCGAAACCCGGACACTCGGTCTAGCGGCCTCTGGTGCGCACGATGAACTCTGGTGAAGCGCTCCACGGTAATCCTGTATGGCGTCCTCGTCCAAGTAGCCAGTTGACGGGGGCATCCCGCGCGGTAGACAGGGCAGTGCGGCGCAGCCGGTAGACTCGCCGCTACTCCCTGATGGATTCGTACCAGTGACCACATCCGTGTCGCTCACTGGTCCCGCCGCGCTCGCCGGAGAGATGGAATAGTCGAGGTGAGTGTTTAGCTCAAACGTGAGGCGTGAGGTAAAAGTGCGTACCTGTAAGTTTCCTGCGATGCTCTTGCGATGGTTTGATGAGATGGTATGGGGGTTATCTGAAATTGGACCAGTTGTCGGACCGGGGCATTGGTGGATGTCCCCGGACAGCAGAAGGCAGAAGGTGATTATTAGCGCGAGGCTCTGTTGCGGTTTTAGTACCGATTTGGTGTGCTTTCTTACTTTGCTGTACAGATGTGGATGAATAAAAGTAGCAGCCAGGACGTATCTCCCAAGTCCAAAATGTTTGGTGGCTTTGATTGTTACAATGTCCACTGATGTAGGTTTAATACTATTGGAACTATAAGTGTCACTCAGAATTTGACCAGTATCTGTATAGAAAAAGGTGTTTGTGAGCAGTGCATACGCAAAGAGCGCAGCAGTTGCTCCTGCCACACCCTGCGCCGCCATCTTTCAAATCAGTAACATCAGCAGCTTTTTACCATCTAAAAAACATTGCCAGGATCAAAAACATAGTGTCTAAAGCAGACTTGGAGATTCTTATCCATGCATTTGTCTCCAGTAGGTTAGACTACTGCAATGGCCTGCTCACAGGTCTGTCCAAACAGGCTGTAAAACAGCTGCAGTACATTCAAAATGCAGCAGCTCGAGTCCTGACAAGAACCAGGAAGTACGACCATATTAGTCCTGACTAGAACCAGGAAGTACGACCACATTAGTCCAGTCCTCAGGTCTCTGCACTGGCTTCCTGTGGCTCAGAGAATAGACTTTAAAACAGCTCTGCTTGTGTACAAGTCTCTCCATAGCCTCGCACCAAAATATATTAGTGACATGTTAGTCCCATATGAACCAGCCCGGACTCTGAGGAGCACAGGGACTGGACCCCTGCTGGGACTCTGAGGAGCACAGGGACTGGACTCCTGTTAGTGCCCAGAGTCAGAACTAAGCATGGGGAGGCTGCTTTTCAGATTAATGCTGCTAAAATCTGGAACAGTCTTCCTGAAGATGTGAGACAGGCCTCCTCTCTGACAATGTTTAAAACCAGGTTAAAGACGGTTCTGTTTAACTGTGCATACAACTGAGGGATTTTATATTTTTATCCTTCTTTTTAATGTTCTGTGATAATTTATGATTTTAATGCTTTCTTGTTTTGTTCAGCACTTTGAATTGCCTTGTGTATGAATTGTGCTATATAAATAAACTTGCCTTGCCTTGCCTTGCCACAACCACAGTTTGGCACTTTACAGCCGCAGCCGCCCCACTGTGGCACCTGCTGTTCCCAGAGGTTAAGTGTCTTGCCTAAGGACACGACGGCAGTTTGGCACTTTACAGCCGCAGCCGCCCCACTGTGCTGGCGTTCCCAGAGGTTAAGTGTCTTGCCAAAGGACACAACGACAGCAGACAGTGGGAGTCGATGGTGAAAGTCAGGCTTGAACCCACAACCCTCTGGCTCAAAGGCCAATGCTCTACCAACTGAGCTACTGTCGCCCTAAAAACTGTAAATTACTGCAGAGTCGCCCAGATTTAGAGTTTTGGTCCCGTTCTTCCACAACTCAAGATGAAGCGATGGCAGATTCCGCTGTGCCCTGGTGGAAAACTTTAAAATGCATCGATTTGCCAGCGTTCTGATATGATAATAATATATTTCCTGTTTTATTCATCCCTCAACATCCAACTTTTTTCTAATCCCATCTAAGATCACAACGATAAAAACCAAGACAGTTTTGTTTGGCCTGGTTCAGACTGTGCTCTGAATACAGAGCTGTTACATTATGCAGTGGAAATCGTCAGGGTCCTCTGGCTCCGAAGTTTAAATATATAAATAATCGTTGTTCAGACGAAGGCAAACAGTAGACAGTCAGTTAAAGGCCAAAATGGAGGCTGTACTTTTGTTTTAAGAGTCAGAAAATGGACACATGTAATGGGTACAGAGTTTAAGAGAAATAACAAAAGAATAATAAATACAAAATTAGGAAGCAATACAAAATAACCAAAAAATACAAAAAAATGACAACAAGAAAGTTCGAAAGGGAGTGGGAAGATAAGTATGAACAATATTCTGCTCCCTGTGGACCATTGGCTTCTATGTGTTTGTCATTATTGCCTTTCCTCTGTTCAAACTGATTCTCTAATCTGTTGTTGGTGACTCTACAACTTTGAACAGCCCCTTGAGATGACTGCTGTTGTGATTTAGAGCTATACAAAAATAATTGAATTGAATTGGTTCTTTGTGGCAGAAGTTGATGCTATTGTAGATGGAGCTAAAACGACGTATGTTTTAAAGATGGGATAATGTTGAAATCGCATCAAAAACATTTCAGGATTTGTGCATTTGTAATGACTTTTCAAAACAAGAAAAAGGTTATATATTGTGGCTGAATGATTCTGGAGAAAATAATGTGATCGTTTAAGTTCATTTCTGCAGAATCCACGAGTGTGCAGTGGATCTGTGATTCTACTTCTGCTCATTTGGACTCGACACAAAAATACAAACATTTAACCCATTTCCAAAAACTTGAGAAACCTATTTTTCTATTAAGTGGATTTGTATTTGAAATATCCCGACATCACCGTCTGCAGAAGACTGGAGAGAGAAGGGAAAAGGCCAGTGGTTGAAGATTGCTCAAATCTGTGATAATTGTGTAGGAGAAGTGTGTTTCTTTTTTCAATACTTTGTGTTGCATTGATACAGTGAATGTACTTCTCTGTATGTTTGTTATTACATTTGCATGCATCCATAAATGTACATTATATATTAGAAAGCTGCAGTTCAATCTGGAGAGACAAGAAGCGTTTGAAAGATGTATTGATTTGTTTGTAGTTTATTAGTTTGTCGCACAGGCCCCGGGATCTGTGCCTGATACACACAAACACACGAGAAGACATTTTGTAGATAGATAGATACTTTACTGATCCCGAAGGAGAAATTCATTTGTCCAGCAGCAACAAAAATAAAATAGCACTCCTGTTTACACTTTTCGGGTAGAACATCCAGGTGTCTTACCCAATCATGGGCCAGTGGAGGGCGGGACATCGAAATGAAAACAATGTGAAATATCTCTGAACTACTGTCATCATTCAAATAAGGATTGGAAAAAAGCTGTTTTATTAATGCCTTTTGACAGATTAGGGCTCTTTAATGATAACTTGACATGAAAATCTTACATAAAGCTGCTTTGATGAACTTCTTTTCCATGTTATATATTTGTATAATCTGCTACAGCGGGAGAGCGGTGTTTCCAGTGCATCTGTCGCTGTATTTCAACAACGGCCTTGTTTTCTGTGTTGGAGCAGAAGAGGCTTTGTGGCGGCGGCTGCACAGATACTTCTTGGTTCAGCGTCGGAGCTAATGTCCCGAAGCAGAGACAGGTGTGAGGCGCTGAGCCACGAGTTCAGAAGAAATCATTCAGAAGAAAAGGAAATGACCGCTGTTCCACCTGGACATGAGCGATTCCCAAACATACACACATCAGAGGATCACCTGCCCCACCCTCATGTGTCTGTGTGTCTTTAAACCCTGTGCTCCTCTGGCTTTTATCCCTGGTTCTAGTAAGTTCTGGATTTTGAGTTTTTTGAGTCATGAATTTTATCTTGTACCTTTTCACTCATGCATTTAAGTTCTTTCTTTATTTTCAACCCGTGTCCCTGCAATATGGCGAGGAAATGATGGTGGGATCACACTCCTCAGCCTCAGGTCAGATCTACTTGAAGGCTTTGGAGAGGAGACTGTGGCCAAAATCCAACTCTCAGATCCTGGAGGAACAGTGCGGGTTTGGTCTTCTTCACGAGAGAGATAGAAATGGATCTGACTATTGCGGAGATAGATAATAGGGACCTTTTATAGTAGACAGGAAAGGTGTGACAAAGCAGGTTACTTTATCCCCTTTTTAATGCCATATTTTATAAATGCGCTGAAAGACCAAGGCTATGTCATAGAGCAGCCATCCTTTGCGGACTGGGTGGCATCTCTGTCCAACTCCCCGACCCAGAAATGGATAAAGGGGTAGAAAATGAATGGATGGATGGATTTTATAAATGTATGATGTAACTTTTGAGGATGTGTCAGTCAGACATCTTGTATTGTGGGCCATCTCAAAGCTCCCCGGTCCTACTCGTCAGGAGGGAGGCACACCCAAGGGACCAGACTGTCTGTTGCTTTTTTCCACAATAAATGTTCTGATTTACAACTTTCAATACGAGTTCTGCCATCTCACTTTGACACTCGGGCCAGCTTCTGTTAAAGGTGAGTTTTCGAACCCCAAAGCAGTTTAACAGTCTTTAATAAACCAAAAATACAAGAATACAAAAATACTCAAAAAGGGTTGGAGCAGTGGAGACAGGGAGCAGGCCGGCCGGAGAGCAGAGCAGAGCGGAGACACAAGGACTGGACGAGCAAAGGATCTAAAATTGCAACAGGAAGGTGAGTGATTAAGAAACCCAGGTATGTAGAGAAGACACGGCGTGACACTATCGATATGACGGAATTATCTGGCAGAGGAGTGATGAGCAGAGCAGGGTTAAATACTGAGTTGCGTGGAGAGTGGATGCAGGTGTGTCTCGTCAGCAGCCCAGCAGAGACGGCCCACGCCCCCTGTCTCACACGTGCTCTGGGAAGAGAGCAAAAACAAACAGAATCACGACAGCTTCCCCACAATAGGCAAACCGGTGAATTCTCCCACGTTCCTCTTTGTTCTCTCGCTTCATGGGTAATAATCGAAAGGACAAGATGGAGGAGAGTGGCATGGCGCTCCCTTAGAGATTCGATTAGATTAAACGTACTTTCGTATAGTCCTAAATCACAACAGTTATCTCCGAGGACTTTACAAAACAGCTGATTTTCGCCAACACAGATCAGAGAATCAAACCGTTCAAACACAAGAAATACAAGGATAAAAACACATAGAGCCATTGGTCCATAAGGAGCAGATGAAGATGTCCATAAATATTGATAAAGTCCATAAATGTATTTGAATGTCGTGTTATGAATATCTTATAACACAAAGTTGAACTCATCATTATGCCTTTAGCACAATCCAGTGAATTTCTATTTGATGTTTTGGTCTGAAGGCCAAAGCTACTGACACCGTGGCAGCTGCTG